GCTTCTAAGCACTTTGCCAACACCATCATTTAAAAGCATCAGTTTCTTGCTTCTTTTTTCCATTGCCCACTTTTTGCATGCATGAGGCAACTGAATATACCATGAGTTGAGTTAGGTGCACTTTAGTCCTCAAAGTGACATGTTTGTCTTTTAACTCTTTAAAGAGGTCTTTTGTGGCAGATTTGTCCAATGCAATATGTCATTTGATGTACTGACTGCTACTCCCATGAGGTTCATTCAAGACTGTAGCTTTCAAGGGAATCTACTGGGCCAATTAAAGTCAAAGAAGAGAGGTTGACTTAGAAGGTATGTTAACCATTTTCTGGGATTCCAAAAGCGTAATCTTGGTAGATTTCCTTGAAGGACACAGGACAATCACAGGGCCTTATTATGAAAATGTTTTAAGAAACTGAAAACTGCTTTGGTATAAACAAGAAAGTTGCATTGAGTAATTTTTCCCCATCATGACAATGCACCTACTCACTCTCCAAGGTAACAGGGGCTGCCTGTCTTATGAGAGTTTTGTTGGAAAATCTTATGCCATCCATCATAACCCTGATCTTGCCCCTCCAGATATCTGGCCCCCAAACTCAAAAGAACATTGAAAAGGAACAGGATTTGAGTTCCTTGAGAATGTGCAACTTGCTGTTTTGATGTGTAAATTGAAGAGTGCAGAATTCTTTGGGAAAGGGAATACCATCCAATTGGTTCCAACTCATACCAACTCTGTATAGGTTTTCTGAGGAGCAGATGGTGGGTATGAACCACCAACCTTGCAATTAGCAAGTCACAACAGGACTCTTGGGGAAGGCATAGAGAGATGGAAACGCCAACTTCAGAAGTATATAGCCCAAATGGAGGATATGTTGAGAAACAATAGCATCTCAATTTTTTAACCTTTTTGTTTAGTAGAAGAGTCTATGATTTTGTAGCAATACTTTTTGACATATTCTCATATTATTATTTTAGTTTTTTCCCCCCCAACATTAAAAAAAAAAATAAAAACCATTCTCAGATGTCTACAATTAGGTGGTTGGTTCAATTTGGTCTGTGCATTGTAGTTTGCTGACCCTTGCTTTATATCTTGATAGGAATCTAGGTTATATGTTGTTGTTGTTAAGTGCCATTGAGTCAATTTTGACCCATAGTGACCCTGTATAAGGTTTCCAAGGAGCAGCTGGTGAGCTTGAACCACTGACCTTGCGGTTCAAATGATTTTGCAGTCTGATTTATGGATGTATGTAATATAAATACGATTGAACTGTTCACTTAAGATCTGTGCATTTCCTTGGATGTAAGTTAGTTCACGAGAACAACAAAAATTCCTTAAAAATATCAGAGGCTAGGAACTTAGCACTGATGCCCTGCACTTGCTTTATAATTGTCACAGGTGCACTATATTAACAGAAATAGCTTAAGATGTTTAAATGTTTTCACAAAATACCATTTATTCTTGTGCTATTTAAGGGAAGTAGATATAGGTACTTCTGTATCTATATATAGATATTTGTTGTTGTTAAGTGCCACTGAGTTTGTTCCAACTCATAGTCACCCTATAGAGGATTTTCCAAGGAGCAGCTGTGGGTTTGAACTGCCACCTTTTCGATTAACTTGCTGTTAGCAGTTCAGTGCTTCTTTTACACCATATATGACTCCATTATATATTATTGGCATTGTTGTTGTTAAGTGCTGTGGAGTTGTTTTTAATTCATAGTGACCCTGTATAAGGTTCCAAGAAGCAGTTAGTAGGTTTGAACTACCAACCCTGTGGTTAGCAGGCCAGTGCTCATCCAATAGCACCATACCAGGACTCCACTGTATATATTATTATTGTAGTTTAGTAGATAAATTATATAATATTGGGGTGTGTGTGTGTTTAAATATGAGTGTTGTTGTTGTTATTTGCCATCAAGTCGGTACCGACCCATAGCGACCTTATGCATAGCAGAACAAAACACTGCCTGATCCTGGGCCAACCTCACTATTGTTGCCATGCTTCAGTCCATCGAAGCTGCCACTTGGCCAATCCATCTCGTTGGGGGTCTTCCACTTTTTCTCTGACCCTCCACCTTACAAAACATGGTATCCTTCTCCAATGACTGGTCCCTCCGGACAGTACGTCTGAAGTAAACCATGTGGTTGTCAGATTCAAAATGGCCAATACCAGTCCATTTCAGCTGACTAATGCCTAAGATATTGATGTTTATGCATTCCAAAATGAAGAGAAACAGCTGTAAACATCCACTGAAAATTGGAACATGGAATGTACGAAGTATGAATCTAGGAAAATTGGAAGTTGTCAAAAATGAAATGGAATGCATAAATACAGGTATTTACTTAACATTTATGACTGCTTTGGGATTTTTTGTACTAGTAAAGTGTAGTACCTGCAATGTTGCAGCATGCATAATTTGCTGAAGTTAACATTCTCAGACCAACCCCCAAAGATAGAGATCTGATTTATAAAGATACTGATAGTAAAAGGCAATAATAATGAAAACTTAAGGAATAAAAAGAGGTATTAGATTTTTATCAGAACCAACCTCATTGTAAATTGGGAACAACCTTAGTATCAGATGAAGTTCTCGTTTCTTTCAAAATGTGTTTTACTGATCTATTCTTATTAAATACTCTATTTTTTTAAGTGTTGTTGAGTCAGTTCCGACTCAGCGACCCTGTTTCTGAGGAATGGCTGGTGAGTTTGAATCACCCACCTTGTGGTTCAAACCAACGTTAAGTGCTTTATCCTATGGTGTCATACCAGTACTCCCAAATACTGTATAGTATCCTAGTCTATGTAGCAGCTTCCATTTATTTTATTCTGTAATTGAAGTACATTTAGATTATTTCCAAATTATCACAACATTGCTGAAATGGCAATCTTGTTGATTCTCCTAATTCACAAATGTGGGTATGGGTATTTCTTTTCTAGGGTAAAAAACAAGTTTTCCTTGAATTGATTCCAACTCCTGGCAACCCTATGTGCGTCAAAATAGAACTATGTTCTATACAATTTTTAATGACTAATTTTTCAGAGGTAGATCACTAGACCTTTTTTCTGAAACACATCTGGGTGGACTTGAACCATCAACCTTTCTGTTAGCTGTCAAGCGCATTAGCCATTTGCATCTCCTAAAAGGGACTCTTGTAGGATTGTCTAGGGTGGATATATTTCTTGGTCTCTAGGAAGTTTAAAAATATTTAAAAAATCATGTAGGTGTTGAATAAAATGTATACTCTTAATATTTTCAGTTTTCTAGGCAGTTTAGAAATATTTTTAGAAATCATGAATAGGGGTTGAATGTGAATACATACTCTTTTACCTTATACTGAAACAAATATATGATTTTTCTCCTTTAATATGTTAGGTAATAAATTATTATAATTTTCTAATCTTGAATTATCCTTATATTTATATGCTAATCCTAACTAATCATGTGGATTATTTAGAGAATCTATTCCTGAATATATCAACATTTCGGGTAAGATTTTCCATCTATGTGGGTTAATGCGCTGGACTGCAAGGTTAGTTTGAACTGCAAAGTTGGCAGTTCAAACTCACCAGCTGCTCCTTGTAAACCCTACACAGGGTCACTATTAGTTGAACCAACTCAACAGCACTTAACAACAACAAGGGTGCATTTGGCTTTTGATCTGAAATGTGTCTATTACATATATGAGTAAAATTAATTCATTTATAATTATTGTAAAAACTGATGTTTGGACTTCTTTCATGTTTTTCCTATTTACCATACTTCTTTCAAGTTTTTTTGGTTGTTTTCATTCCTACTTTTTGTCTTGAAGCGAATAGGTTTTCTTTGTTCCATTTTCACCCTCTCCAATGGTTTGTAAAATATAAATCCAATTTAATTCTTGTAGTGTTTCTTAAGGAAACTTGGTGGCGCTATGGGTAAGGTGTTGGGCTACTAACTGCAAAGTCAGCAGCTCAAATCCACCAGCTGCTCCTCCTGTAAAGATTTAAAGTCTTGGAAACCCTATATAGGGTCAGAATCAACTCAATGAGTATACATAGTGCTTATTCTTAATTTACAAAATTTAGTGATATAAATTCAGAATATATTTAAAATCAATACCTGGAATTAACTTGTCTCCATAATCTCTGGTTTTGGTTCCACATTTGTTAAAATTGGGAACATGAGTATTTCACTTGTTATTTTAAGGATTAAATGTGCTGTCTGTCATGTCAAGCACCAGTAAAATACTTCCATGAAGTAATAAGTCTTCAATTCCTTCATTCCAATTCTTCATTAATCAAGAAACTTCCGATCCAATGCACACAATGACCTTTTCTTTTCCTTTGTCCTTACCACCTTTCATATCTCTTCAATCATTACTGCCCTCATCTAGTTTTTCAATTTCTTTAAAGTCTTAAAATATCTTCTCTTCACATAAAAAAACAAACAAGTCTATCTCTATTGTACTGAGTGGCTTATTTTCCTACAGATTTATTGAAAGTCAGTTCCCACTGATTCTATGCCTTTCTTCATTTTTCTTTCAAAATGGCGGACTTTAGACGTTCACGATCGACACCACGTGCGTGTGCGCCTGCGCCTCCCGCGGCCATTTCGCCCAGCAGCTCCAGCTCCGCGTGTTGCTTCTACAACATGCAAAGCGCCTGCGCACAAACCCCCAGAGCATTGTCGCTCCTCCTTCTAACTGTGTACGCCTGAAACCGCACGTTCCCTTCCTTCCCTCCCCCTCTGTCTCTGTGCCTTTCTCAGCCCTTTCTTGTGAGATTCTTCCGCCAAGTCAAAGACTTATCTTTTTTCGACAGCTTACGCGCTTAAAGACCAATCCAATAGGCACATACAGCCCTAGGTTTCTCCATTCAGCTTTATTTGTATGCCATGGCATTTTTCCTCTGGCCTCCAGAACTGATAACCGATTTCGCGGGACTTTTTGCACATCGTGAGGCAACGAATGTAAAGAATGAGCCTGTGGCGGAGGGATCTCTCGCTTACACACTGTGTACTTTAATTTAATGGGGGGGGGGTCGCCCTGGAGTCGGAAGAAGGAGGGGGGGTAAGGGCGGGGACAGCCAGGGAATTGTTTTTTTCTCTCTAGCTCCGCCCTTACAAAGCCAGCCAATACTGATGAGTTGTTCCACCATAAGCCTCTCCCAACTGCTTTTACTCGGCCAGTAAGCGGTGGAAGCGGCTCCAAGGGGGCCGGCCTGGGAGGCTGTGCGTGTCTTGTGAGAGCTCTTGAACCAAGTCAGAGCTAGAGTCGCTCGGCGGCTGGAAGCTCCGGCTGCCACCAGTGACTCAGGGAGCTGGGAGGCGGGGTAAGAGCGTCGCGGCCTCAGCTGGGTGGAGAAGAGGAAGAAAGGCGAAGGTGGCTGGATTCGCGTTCCCGGGGCGCCAGGGGCCGGGGTGAGGGGCGCCGGGGGGCGTCTGTGGTCGGGAGGGGTGGGGAAGTGGGGTGGGCCATCTGGGCAAGTGCGGAGCTGTCGACTCGATTTCCGCCGCCCCCCCACCCCCGGGGCCTCCCAGGGCGGGGACCCAGCGGTCAGAGACCGGCCTTCTGCCTTGGGAGCCTTTTCTTTTTTGGGGTGAAGGGTGAATACTTTAAAATTTTCCTACGCCGCAAATACTCCCCTCATTCCCTCTGCGTTTAGGTTTAAGGTTTCGAAAAAGCGAAACTTGGGAGAGCCCGGGTCACGCGGTACTCGGGCCTATGTTTGCGGTGGGGGTGGAAGCCGGGGGGGCGGGGATGGCGCGGGTGGAGGGATCGGTGCGGGGGTGCTGGGTTCTCGTTCGCACCCGGCCGCCGCCTGGGGTAGCGTCCCCAGAGCAGAGTCAGGGCCCCTCCCTCCACCCACGCACCCTGTTCTGTTTCTGGCCCCCTCCCACCGACGGCCCCCACCTCATTTTGTTTTTGCAGGGAGGAGCCCTTCCTGCAGGCGTGGAAACCATGGTGCTCACGCTCGGAGAAAGTTGGCCAGTATTGGTGGGGAAGAGATTCCTCAGTCTGTCTGCAGCCGACGGTAGCGACGGCAGCCACGACAGCTGGGACGTGGAGCGCGTCGCCGAGTGGCCTTGGCTCTCAGGGACCATTCGAGCCGTCTCCCACATCGACGTTACTAAGAAGGATCTGAAGGTAAAACGAGCTTTCTGGCCTATGCTGTCTCGGACGTTTGGACGTTACCTTGGTAACGCGACAATCAGCAGTCCCCCTCCCCCTTTTCTGGTGACCAGAAAGTTGGCATTGATCTGAGGGTGCAGAATACTAGACCTTGAAAGTCTTTGAAATGGTTGTGTAGAGCCGAGGTGTGTTTGGGTTAGAGTTTCTGCTGCTGTGTTTAAATAATGGGCCTAGGGTTTTTCAGTCACTCTTAGTTTTTGCCAAGGCAGTGCTTCGCTAGACTGATGATTTTTGCAAAGCAGGAGTACTGTTGGTAGTATTAAGTTGGGCAAGTGGATGACGTTTGGAATCTCATTAAGAATCTGTGGGTATATGTCTTGAAAGGGCATTTTATTTGTTCTTAATTTCTTCCCTCAACTTTTTAAGTGTACAGACTTGTTAAAAGTGAGTGCAGAAGGAAGACTTTAGTATTGTTTGGCATGTTAAAGTGGGTTTTGCCCGTATTTGGTGGGTCTGGCTAAGAGTGGGTTTTTGATGGCAGGTGCTGTCTGTTGGTGGGTGTGGGATATATCCATATATGGAAGGATGGGGTGGAGCTGCCCTATATATGGTGTGTTGGAGGACTGGCTTCGAAAAATGCTTTTGGGTGTTGGAGGATGGAAGGAATGGGAACAAGTGTGTGTACCAAGTGATTTTTAATCTGAACGAGATGCAAACCTTTTTCATTTTCAGTTAGGTCTTTTCAAAGAAAGATGAGTTCTGATTGTTCTCTTAAAATAGAAGTAATGGTGTGAAAGGATAATCTGGAAGCATAGAGTGAGGAAGCTTTTGTACCAACAAAGACTCCTTTGTGCACAACTACCCAAAAAGAGTCCGTAACAAAAAATCTGAAATAATGATAACTTGAAGTCAGCTTGACAGAAGACATTTCCACCTTTGGTAATGGATATTTTGTTTTTAGTGTTTTCACTTGGTCATCTTTGCTCTTTGTTGAAAACTATGCTCAAGTAAGAAAGTTATTAGCTATGAATGCGTTGATTTCTGAAACACTTCGTTTGAACACTTTCAGAGTGACAGGGCATGTCCAAACCAATACTGGTTAGTAAAGGCTTGTAAGAATGATGTGTGGTTTTGAGCTTACACGGTGTACCTTGTGTTTATGTTTAACTGGAGTTGAGACCATTGAACACTTAACCATCAAACTGAACACTTCACAGCCATGATCATACTTAATCCTTCCAGGGGTTCTTCCAAGATATCGACTCCATTTTACAGATGGAAATATTGAGGCCAAGAAGATAAGTATCTTGCCCAAGGTCATATTCCTTGCAATCAGTGTAGTCTGTATGCTAAACACCAATAAGGCTTTTGTCTCCAAAAACTATCTTAACCTTTGAGCCACAAAAGGACTCCACGATACACTGTGAGGTTTGGTTTTTCTTCTTTCTACCTAACTAGTTATTTGCCTAGCAAATTAAAGTTTGACATTAAAGAATGTGATAGGGTGCAATGATGGCCAACCTTTTTCTTCCTTTAGGATAATAACCTTTGTACATGAAATAGGCTTTGTGTACTAGAGTCCAATCATAGCTGTTGTGGCTTATATCACTTGCCAAGAGAAATTTTCTCTAGTGCATTTGTTTTTATCTGATTAGTGTAGAAACAAGATTTAATTTAAACTTTCTAGTCTTTAGTTCTTTGACAGATAATAAGGGACTAGGTGTTCCTTTTCTTGACAATGATTGAGGACCTGCTGAGTTAGGCAGGATGTCCTTTCTTTATATATCTGTGTTTTAATTGCCATGTCGTCCCCCCTACCCAAGCCCTGAAACCTTTGAGGTGGTGGTGATATTTTCAGAATGAGGAAATAAATTTAGGAAAACGAATCTTGTTCAGAGTTGCATAATTAACCACTAAGTGGTGGAGATGAATTTTGAAGTTCTGCTGTGTGTCTTTTTACTTAACCTGGAGACAATGAGGGTTTCAATTCAAAAACAATTTTGATTATATTTGATTTTGATTTTGCCATACCTGCCGACTTTACCACACAGCTCCCATGGAAGGTGCAAGTCAGTTGATTTCTTTTATCTAATCATGATTTATTGCTGCATTCCTCAGTTGAGTAACAGATAAAATAGTTGCTTTAAGTTTATGGTCCCTGTTGTATTAACAAGGAAATAAGATTTAAAACCCTTTATAATAGTACTTGGCGAGGTGCAGGCAGGAATTGAGTAACTAAGACCATGCTTACACCTGGGTTTTTTGGCATTGAATTTTTTTTGGAGGTGAAACTGGGTGCTAAGTTGAATGTGAATAAATAAAATTTGAGTAGTAAGCAACTGTTCGAACACTAGTACAAATACAACTCTGTCTAGACTGGCTAGCCTAGTTGTTGTTAGTTGATTTATAGGAACCTTATGCACAATAGAATCAAATGATTGTGATCCATAGAGTTTTCATTGGCTGATTTTTTTTGGAAGTAGATTGTCAGGTCTTTTTTCCTAGGCTGTTTTAGTCTGGAAGCTCCATGGAAACTTGGTCAACATCATTTGTTGTTAAATGCTGTCAGGTTGGTTCCAACTTATAGCAACTCTGTATAAGGTTTCCGAGATGCAGCTGGTGGGTATGAACACCTAGCATCATAGCAACATGGAAGTCTGCACATGAGGTACGTTGACTAGAAATGGAACTTGGTCTTCCTCGTGGAAGACAAGACTTCTACCACTGAGCCACCATTGCTGTCTCTTGCTTAGTTAGTTGAAGATATTATTCTTGCCAGAGCTTGTTAAGGTTGTTTCACCTAAAGAGAGGCATTGTAACAGTCACTTACATAGATGATAAGTAGATAAATGCATCTAGTAGTTGTTTACACATAAACTGAAGGCATAACTGTAGTTAGTAATAAGATTAAGTGTTTATTGTGGGGCAAGTACTTCATTTAATCCTTACAAATAGCCTAGGTAGTAGACTACATTTTGTAGTATCAAATTAAAATTTAAACAAATAATTTATTTAAAATATGTTCCAGACTTTCTTAAACACTAGGCATTAATATTCAGGTACAATGAGGTTGTTTTTGGTGTTGCCTTGTTAAGTGCCCTTGCTAACTGCTGTCATAGTGGCCCCCAACACATGGTGACCCCATGTACAATGGAACAAAACGCTTGACGGTCCTACACTATCCCCATTATTGGTGACAGATTGTATTGTTTTGAGTAATAGGGTTTTCACTAGCAGATTTTTGGAATTAGATCGTTAGAATTTTCTTTCTAGGCTGTTTTAATCTGGAAACTCTACTAAAGCCTGTTCAACTTCACAGGAACATGCAAGCATCCAATGCTTGAAGTACTGGCTGTGCTTTTGAGGTACGCTGGCTGTAAATGAACCCTTCTGTATGGTGGGCAAGAATTCTACCACTGACCATTTATGAGGTTCAGGACTTTATTTTGTTGATGTCGGTTGTGCAGCTCATTCAATTTACTGTCACTGAATTGTACATATGAAATGGGTAATTGTGTGGTGTGTAAATGAAACCCGAGTACAATTAGCTTAAGGAGCTCCAGTAGCGTAGTGGTTGAGTCAGGCTGCTAATTTCAAGGTCAGCAGTTTGAAACTAACAGCTGTTACGTGGGAGAAAGATGAGGGTTTCTGCTCACGTACAGATTTACAGCCTCGGAGACCCTGTACTGGGTCTCTGTTAGTTGGAACCAACTCCATGGCACATAATCACCACCATATTCTCAGCACCTATAACAGTGCTTTTATTCTGTAGTATACACTCTTAATTGAATGAACCAATAAAGGCATCATCAAATTATTACATCTACAGGGAAAAGCAGTTTTGAAATAATCTGATGGGGCAGTAGGATTCTATTCATCTGGATCAATAACACATCTTAATTCAGTGTGGTCCTATGGACCTTTATAACTCTTTCAACTTGAGTCTATGAGGCAGGTTGTTTCCTAATTGGCTTGGTTCACATAATATGCATACTGGGAATACCCACTTTCACACTTGTGTATCTAGGTCTTTCCTTTCCCTTCCTTTAAACCCACATTCTTTCCTTGTGTCTTTTACCCCAATTTAGACCTCAGGGTTATCTTTAGCAAATAGAGCCTTTAAAAAACAAAATAACACAAAAACCTATTGGGTACCTTGACCAATGCCTAGCCTTTCATTGTTGTATACATTTAGAACTTGAATGTTGGTGGAATCTACTGCCCATCAAATGTTGTAAATGAGAAACTCTTAGTACAGTGTATTAAAAACTGTTTAGCATTTATAACTGAAAGCTAGACTCTGAGGTTTGAGATACACTTTTTACTTAGGTGTAATAAGATAAATAGAAGCATAAGGAATGAATCCCTTCAGTTGTGGAGTATTGAAATAAGTAGATACATACTATTCTGTATCTACCTACTTTGAAACTTGGAAACATTTTGTTTCTTTCTGATGGTTTTTATATCATATGCCCAAGAGAGATCTGTATATGCAAGGAGTTTTGAGGTTAGATATAATTCATTCATCTCATCATGAGATTCCTGTTGGGGAAAAAATTAGCCTGAAAAAATCAGATATATCCAGCATCTGCTCAGGATATTTGCTAATCAGGTACACATTTATAAAATGCCTTGTTAAAAGAATGGCAAATTTGGAAATTATAGGTAGTGAATTTATAGTTGATTGGCCTCTTTTTGGCCTTTGATGTCAGCATAAATAGCATCATCGCATTAGTGGGCTGAGGGAGCATGTGGAAAGAACACACTTTGCAATGGGAACTTTGTATGAACTCGGTCAAGTCATTTTAGTGCTCCTGAACTTGAATTCTTGTCTGTAGTTTTTAATAGAAATATTTGCAGAATTGGCTTTTCAGGAACCAGTTGTTGTTAAGTGCCGTTGAGTTGGTTCCAACTCATAGCAACTCTGTATAGGGTTTCCGAGGGAGAATAGTTTTATATTTAGAACCTCAGACCTCACGGCACAAATGAAAGACATACATATGAACTGGAAACGT